CCTGTAGTCCTTATAAATATTTTTTCAGCTGAGAGGCTAGAGGGTGGTGGGTTTGGTTTTTGTTTGTTTGTTCTTTGATTTAAAGATTCATATTAAAGAATTAAAGATTTTAGAGGAAGACTTTGGGCAATTTTAAATGCCAGTATTTATAACTCAATTTAAATTTTAGTAAGGCAAGTCAGCAGCAATAAGGACAACTTAGCCTGTGCTACTTGCTAATTAATACGTAGACGTAATCTTCAGCTGTTTTATGAATGCATTGACTTCCTTTTTGAGGAAGAATTGTGGGGGTTCATAACAGTAGAAGTAAATGTCATTTAATATGTACAGTTGGTCACACTATTGGATAAGCTCAGAGGAAAAACAGCTGAGGAAAAACAGCCCTTCAGGCCAGGTGGTGTTGTATCCCTAATGTAAATGAGTGAACCTTGTTTAGTGGGTCATGCGGGCAGGACCAAACTGGGCAGGTGGAGAGGGAGCAGTAAAGGCCACTTCCAGCTCAGCACTACAACCCAGCAGGGATTGTAGCAAATAGCTTCATCCGTGGCAGGGATATGTGTCAAAATCTAGTTCAGCTCAAACTTGGATGAGCTGCAATCCAGCAGCCTCTACCTATCGTGGAAACGAGATACTGTCAGTCTAGTGATTTGGCAGCATTTTGCTACTTTGGGAAGCCCCAGTTCTCAAGCCAACATATTTTCAAGGAGCTCTAAGTTGGAAAAGAAACTCCTGTGAGTAATGCCTGGTGACTTAACCACTTTCTTTTCTGCATTTCCTGAGTTCTAAAAATAACATTTTGTGTGTGGTTAGCCCTGGTGATTTTGATATCTAGACTATCTTGACCATGTGCCGTATTTAATGCTGTTTTGTGAAATGACAAGGTGAGGTTAAAAGAATAGTATCTTTTGAAAATGCTTTGGATACCGCTTAGGTGATGACTGAGCTTTGGCAGGGGCTGCCCAATCAAGAAATCTGCTGCAGTGCCTTATTTAAGAGCAGTATAATGGAGTGAGGAATTAGGATTTAATGCAAGGGAAATGTGCAATGTGGGTGGGTCATGCAGATGGATTTTGGTAGGGAGATGAAAAAGGTTTCTGCAGTCACAAACACTAAAATTGCAGTGGTGGTAGTTGACTGTTAGCAGGCAGGAGAGATGTTAAATCTGATCGAAATCAGTGCTCATTTTTTCCCCAGATGAAAATGACTACTTATGAAAGGTTAGAGGATTTATGGGGGTGTCAAAACATATGGCAGATGGGCTGGATTAGGACTCATGAGTATAGTAATCCAAATCCTTTCTGCCAAGCATTACAGAGGATCTCTTCCGGCTGCTGGGCTACACTAAGTGTACACAGTCAGAGGAGCACAGGCTGTCAGGAGGCTCGGAGGAAGAGTTGCTAGAGAAAGTGCTTGTCTGAGCAGAGTTCATTTTGAAACCACTTTCTTTGCAGCCAAAAGTCTACTGGGGAACTGATTATATTATTTAATTTTAATAAATTGCTGTAACCATTTTTTTCCTTTGGTTTGCTGTACAAAGCCTGGAAGACAGTAAAGCCAAAATGTGAGCTAAACCTTTCTAATTATCTCTGACTATATTAGTACTGAGGGATAAAAGCTGTGTGAGTCAGGAGTGTTGAAAGCAGAAAAAGGGGAATGAGTTTGTCATTCCTCTTCTGAGCCAGTGCTATCTATGTGTGATTTAAAAAGGAAAAAAAATCCTACTTTACATTTTTGTGACAAAAGTTTAAGTGTTAGGGACAGTTTTAGTCTTGGTTTTAAACTGAGTCCAGAGGATCGCCTCAGAAATCTGAAAATTCACAATGGCATGTCAGTGTTACACAATTGGTAGCTGTAGTTAACATGTAGTTAATTGTAAAAAAAAAATGTAAAGCTACATTTTGAGAAGATCCGTGTCTGAAATAGTTTCTGGGGAAGGAGCAAACCATTTGTGACTGAGGTAACAAAAGGATATTTGCACTCCACCCCTGTAGTCAGTCAATTAAGAATCCACCAGAGCTCCTTCTCTAGTTAACTAGTATTTTACATGGTGTGGAAAACCACCTAATTGAATATCTTTGAGCTCCACGAGTGAATGCGTACGTATTTCATTTGACACCAGTGTAAAATGTTTTTAAAAAGTAATAAAATTTTGTTAAAGCATGAAACACAATACTGCATATAGATATGTTGTGTTCTTTGTAGAACTGGGAAGTGTGAGGAGCCAGACCTTACAGATCTTAAATTTAGCTTAAAAGGGAGGCTGCAAATAGTTACTCCAGCAGTGAGGATGGATTAGTTATGAGGTACAGATTGTTTGCATTCTAGGGCAAGAACCAAGATGCAAGCTTTTAATTTTTATTGGTTTATGATGTATGAAGAAGACCTGAAAATTTTTAGGAGGTTTCTCTATTATCCATGAGGAATGGCATATCTGTGCTAGCATGGTTTTGTCGAAGAACATTGTAATGTGAACTTGCTCAGCATTTAATTGAAAAGCACGATTGCTAGATCTTTAGGAAAGGGAGATTATTTCCCAGTTGTTAAGTATTAACAAAATAACAAAGCAGTCTAAGCAATCCATCAAGGCCCACTTCTCATCTGTTAATCAAGTTTCACTTGCTTAGTATTTGGGATGTCTGAATCGTTCCAGTGGTGTATAGTCTTCCAGCAAAGACCTGTTCTGAATTTCTAATTAAAACAAACAAACAAATGAACAAAAAACCCCCATCTCCTACTTCCCAGCTTCTTTCTCTCTAAGTAGCCTCCTCTTATGAGACTGTAGAAGGGTGTATAACAAGAGAAGAAAAAAAAAGGTCATGTTTAACATTTGAGAGTTGTTTATATGCGTGTTTGAAGGAAAATGAGTTCAAAAATAATTGAGCCAGAGGGGTGGGCAGAAAAATGTTCATGTAGCAAAATATGACAGGAATGAAAGGACAAGTTGTACCAGGGACATAAGGTTTTCCTATGAGGGCGTGCATGCAAATCCATGAAATCTGAATAATCTTTTTATTCCAAATATAAACTTAGTTAGGACTTTCAGTGATAACCAGTTTACACAGCTTTATAACATTAAAAGCATTTAAACAGTCCTGGCAGGCAGGAATGAAACAGCATCTGAGATGAGTTGTGAAATATTATCCAGTTTACAAGTAGAAGTTGTTTTTTACAGTTACGCTTTCCAAGGAATATTTTCATCATAAAGTGTAGATGTAGATTTTGATTGATTTATTACCAAAAAATTGTTGATTTTCCAGGATATAGAAATATACAAAAGCTAGAAAATCAAACTGGAATCAATATGGCAAATGAAATATGTGGACTCAGACTTTACTTCATACATAAAAAGTGACAGCATTTTTTAGGTGGTTCTGATACAAGCACGTAAATATTCTCATTATAAATTTGTTTGTTCCCTACTAATGCCCCCATTGAATTCTTCCATATTGCCTCAAAATTTAACTAATTAATCTAACTGCTATTAAGTATTCTAAACTTCACAGGGATAAACTATCCACATAGAAATGTGCAAAGGAATAAATTTCTTCATGAGATAAGCAGATAAATTATGATGACTAGGCTACATCTTGTTACTGGAACATCAGTAACCTGATAGTAGAAAACTATTAATAATTGACCTAAAATGGAACAGCACAATCATCTGTATTTCATGACATCAAGGGGAGAGTGCCCTCACAAAGGAGAAAAATGAACTGTTTGAAAGAAATGTGATAAAACATTCCAGTGTGAGGTCCTGCTTCTGACTAACTGAGGAAACGTTGAATAACCATCTCAGGAATGTGTGGTGTGAGAGGGAAAAAACAGACCTAATAAAATGAAAAATGATTGACAAATAATTCTTTGTAATAATGGGTGGAGAGATTATCAAAGTGCTTACACCATATCTGGAGCTATTTGGCAAATAGTTTTTCTTTTCAAAAGGCATCTGAGAAACTGAAATATAAAAATACACATATTTTTGCTTTTACACATTCTTCTGCAAAGAGAGAGTAATCCAAACCAGCTTTCATTTAGGGTGCCCATGTAATTGAGAGCAGAACTTAAGCTTATCAGTCCTAGAAACAGGTGAGAAAATCTTGCTTTCTGATTCTCATTTAGGCAGAAGTGGTATGTTTCTGCAAGCATTTGAATAAGTAAGTGCTTTTGGATGCAGCGAAGGTGAACCCAACAAGCAGCTCCAGCTGGCAAAATGTTGAGTTATTCCATAAATAAGTGGAGGTTCTTTGAGTTGCTAGCATGATGACATGAGTAGGTGGAGGCAGACGCATGCTTCGCGTAGTATTATTTAGATGGGTATCAAGATGTGAAAGGTTTTAGAACACTTATTTAATATAATGTGCTTGAAAAAAACCACCAATATATTGTTTAGCTGTGAGATGCAAAATGTAGTGGGGTTTTCAGTAGTAGGCAGATCTGAAGGCTCCAGTTGATCACTGTAGTTAATAGGTAGGAACCAGAAGACCTAAGCAGGCAATCTGTGTCTGTTTCCCTCTCTTGCCTTCTTGGAAAGTTTATTTGGTTCTCAGGTTAAATACTTTAGGAGAGACTTTAATTAGAGAAAAGGGAACTGGAACATTTTTCAAACTTTAAAAATAGTTAAGGCAAAATTTTTATTTTGGTCACAGCCAGGACCAAAGAAAGGATTTGGCAGGTTATGTAGGAACCATTGTAAGGTTCCATAAATTCCTCTAAAATAAAGAGGTTACATAAGGTTACACAACTAAATCTTAAGCAAAGACTGACAGCCCTAAGATCTCTAAAGACTTAACTATGATGCAGGCTTAGTATAGCTTAAATACCCCAACATTTTGTGATCCACATGCCAGAGACCAAGATCTATAGTGCTTGTTTCCATTACCAAAAAAAAAGTTGTATCATATATTTCTTGGTTCTTTTTGTTTATAATTTACAGAATTAAACACCTGGTCACCTGGTGTTGATTTATACTGATGATTTTTTTTATTTTTTTTTTCTTTCAGAGAAAGAATTTGACCCTCTTCTTCAGCATTGGTTTATTGACCTCCTGGGGGACTGCACTGCTGGGTGTTCGCTTATACTGGATGGGCAACAAGCCCCCAAGTTTTTCCAATTCTGACAATCCAGCAGCTGACTCGGACAGTTTTCTCACACGCACGCTGACCTTCTTTTACCTGCCAACCAAGAACCTCTGGCTGTTGCTGTGCCCAGATACCCTCAGCTTTGACTGGTCTATGGATGCCGTGCCTCTTCTGAAAGCAGTCAGTGACTGGAGGAATCTACACACTGTGGCCTTCTATGCTGGGCTCTTCCTCCTTGCCTACTTCAGCTTGAAGAGCTCCAGCAATGAGAGAGAATGCAATGGGAGAACTGTAATGAACGGCAAGCAGAATGCTAATGGGCATAGCTGCCACTCAGAGATGGAGTACAAGACACTGGAGGTGAAGTCAAGCTTTGCATCAAAAGAAGAGAATGGTATAAAAAGGCATGAAATGCAGAAAGTGCAGCTTCCTTCAACTGAGAACATTGTCATTCTGTCTCTGTCGTTGCTAATAGTGCCCTTTGTTCCTGCCACAAACCTATTTTTCTATGTTGGCTTTGTAATAGCAGAGCGTGTGCTGTATGTTCCTAGTATGGGCTTCTGCCTGCTGGTTACAGTAGGTGTCAGGGCCCTTTATGTCAAAGCCCAAAAGCGCTTTCTGAAGAACTTGGTTTTTTGTTCCACTGCTGCATTAATTGTTTTCTATGGACTCAAGACTGTTGTCAGGAATGGGGACTGGCAGAATGAGGAGATGCTGTATAGGTCAGGGATAAAAGTAAACCCTGCTAAAGGTAATTTTTGCTCTTTATGGTGAATGTTTTATTTATTCCTCTTTGTCTTTGCCTTTGAATTGTCTGATTTTATCAACTATATCTAAAGAGGACACTTCAGGAAATGTCCTTTTAAGTTGCAGTAGTGTGTACATTAGTAAAAATGAG